CAACCTTGTTATGACAGGATCAGTATAGCTAGGTCTCCACTAGCGCGGATATTGAATCCCATGAAGTGGTCGCATTATTCGAATTCCAACTATTCGAAGTTATATGTAAAATATGGATATTGTTCTAACGTGTCGGAAACAGGCAATGAAAACTATTTGAACATAAGTTTTTATATCTTTATTAAAGAAATATTACAATTAAGGATAAAAGTATTATAAGTATTACATTAAAGATGAAATTAATATAATTTAAATGTAGTCACAGAGTAGTTTTATAGGGAAAAATAAAACAAATAGATGCTTTGGAGCTACAGGATTACAAGTGAGGAACTCGCAACATACATCAGACATGCAATCGAAAATATTCCCTACTATTACAGCAACTAGCAGTGTCCCATTGTGCAATCGAAACACCACAGCGAATTTGTATGTTTCGATCGAGGTAGGTTTCAGCATTCGTGATTGCTTCACGACTTGCACGGCTCGAAAAATAGCTTCAAATTCTATGAGAGCGACCTCAGCGAATTTGTGTGCTTCGATCGAGGTAGGTTTCAGCATTCGTGATTGCTTCACGACTTGTAGAGCTCGAAAGATAGCTTCAAATTCTATGAGAGTGACCTCAGCGAATTTGTATGCTTCCATCGAGGTAGGTTTTAGCATTCGTGATTGCTTCACGACTTGCAGAGCTCGAAATATAGCATCAAATTCTATGAGAATGACCTCCGTGAATTTGTATGCTTCCATCGAGGTAGGTTACAGCATTCGTTATTGCTTCACAATTTGTACAGCTCGATAGAATGCTTCAAATTCTATGAGAGTGACCTCAGCGAATTTGTATGCTTCCATCGTAGTAGGCTTTAGCATTCGTGATTGTTTCAAGACTTGCAGACTGGGGCAATGCTGTTTGTTCTTATTTGCTGCCAAGCATGGTGAATATTTTGTTTTGCATGTCTGATGTTTGTTGCACGGTCCTCGCTTGAACTTTGATCGTGCTAAATGTTACCGCTCCAGTCACCCCCTTATGCCGTATTCCTCCATGTGTTGACCTTGGCCTGCACGTTGCTGTAGTCGAACTTCCGGTGTACTATCTTCACATTTCCCCAACAATTCTTGTGACAGATATTGCTGAAACTTTTCACCTTGACTGCAGAACGTTTGGGGCTGACTTCACAGGAATCCTGCTCTTTCCCCCACTAGGGTTGTGGCTGATATTGCTGAAACTTTTAACCTTGGACTGCAGAACGGTGGGGGCTGACTTCACAGGAATCCTGCTCTTGGTCTTTGGAAGTTCTGTAAGAGACCAAATTCGTTGTTAGAGAATTAACTTTTCTTTTGTATGCAGGTATCCCTGCCTTCCTCTGTTATTCTGTTTAAATGGATGCTTTGGTTCGAGCTGAACCCTCATCCTCTGGATGATATCATACAAAATGTACCCCGTTGTTAACCCTTCCATACCCAAGTCAAGAGGACAGGAGTTTTTCTTTCCCAACCGGTTCTTGGGCCCTCCCAACCTCCTATTCAATTTTTACGTTAGGTGATTTCCGCGGGTGTTTGCGGCCGAGGCGTAAAGCTAAAGGTCTAAAGAATATCGGCGCTGTATCTCCACTCCCCTATGTGTCTTCATGACCTTCACTTTTTTTAACAAACTAAAGAGAAAGGAAGCAGTTTTTCTGAAGTTATGAATTCTGTGGCATTCAGACACAGAGAAAAGAAAACTAAATTTTTATCATGATTTCGTCTTCCTTTTCCCTGCATCTCATTGTCTTCTTGTCTTCTTCTTTGCTACCTTCTCTAAGTGCGTTATGAGTATTTTCGTACTTTCCTTCGTCGTATTATTATTATTATTATTATTATTATTATTATTATTAACAAAAGTCTACTACAATTTTTAACAATGTATGCTCTCTCAATTTTAAAATTTTAAGGTTTACAAAACATGGCTAAATGAATCCTTTTCCAACCAAAAACGTTTCCCCGCAATTCATAATGTATATCGTATTCATCGAGGTTTTCGAACTGAATCACGTGCCGGTGGAGTTTCAGTTGCTGTTTCTGAAGCAGTTTCGGGCGCCAAACTTAGATCCGACCTTGAATATTTTCGTGAATATATATGGGTAGAAATTACTGTACTTGGTGGCCGTATCTTTTTTATTGACAATCATTGATTGGCTCCTGATGTCGAAGTTGATATTATCAGATATTACTTCGGGTTTTTAGAGAACTGATTAGATATCTTAAATACCCCTTGTATCGGTTGGAATTTACTGGTATGGTTCACTTTCCCCAAATTGTCACTACTACACAAAACTGAAAGGGGGTTTGATTCGTTCCACCGCTTCTTTCCTCGGTTTAAATCAAGGGAATGTCAGAAATTATTCGCACTTTCGCCATAACACATCTTTAGGTTTGTCACACTGCTTTCTGCTCATGCATGCTTATAGTTGATACTACTGTGGTCACATGATCGAAGTTTGACCTTGATTACTTCATTTTCCTTGATGCTGTGACAGTGTAAACATGGCCGCTCCGCTAGCAGTGTGCACGAAGGAGGAACAAAGAACAGTGATCCGATTTCTCTGGTTGGAAGGTGTGTCAGGGGCTGAAATTCATCGGAGGCTTTCAACACAACACGGGAACAGTGCTCTGCCGCGTAGAAATGTGTATGAGTGGATCGACAAATTTAAAAGTGTCCGGACACGAAATTCGAGACTCAATCTTCCGCGGGAAAGGTGATGCTAACCGTTTTTTTGGGACTGAAAAGGGTCGATACTGGAAGACCACATCGAAGAAGGTTGTGCGATCAACATTTCAAGATACAGTGACTTGCTGGCCGACAATCTGAAGCCAGAAATTCGCACCAGACGCCTAGGCTTATTGTCGAGGAAAGTGTTGTTGCATGATATTACAAACTCACACATGGACGGCCAGACCGTTAAAAGCATTAATCATTTCGGTTCCAAGGTGCTAGAACACCTGCCTACAACCAAGATCTCGCCCCTTCCAACTATCATCTCTTTGGACTCCTCAGAGATGCTTTACAAGGTCGTCGATTATCTGCGGAAAGCGGTGCATAAATGGTTACGCTGCCACCCGAATACCTTCTTCTTGGAGGTAATACGCAAGCATGTGGACCGCTGGACCAAGTGCATCGAAAAGGAAGGAGACTATGTAGAAAAATGATATACTTGTTCAACCCGTACTTTTATGTATATAAATTGGTAAACCAAAAGTTCGGATAATTTTTCACTTCCCTACGTAATTATCTTGACAACTTCTGCAAATTTCCTGACCTTAATTTTACAAATCCTGCTGATCTTTCGGTTGACCATGCTGAACACGGCCAAGTTCAGCCGGATCAATTCCCTCATTTTATCACTGACTGTGTCATGCCATTGGGACGTTATACAAATTTTTTAAAAGATCTTACAAAAGATATTCCTCTTGGGATTATGCAGTTATTTATAATTACTTGTCTAGTTATTACTGGTCTTCACTGTACAACGAAACATCTGTTGATGCTGCCGTTGGCAGATTAAATTTTGCTGTAACCCTAGCCATAGATTTAGCTATTCTTTGTGGTTACATTAAAAAGTATAAATACCCTGCCTGGTTTCTGGAAGGTTAAAAGCTTACATTAAGAAGGAGAATTATGCCTATAAATGTTACAAGAAATATAAGTCTCTCTCTTTTTAGACACACTTACTGTTTACTGTGCAATCTACTCACCGCTAGATTTCTCGTTTTCTCCTTCAGTGACAGCCATGTTCTCGTTGAAGGAATTCACATATTCTATACAGCGTTCCACCTCTTCCAGATTAGCCCTGTACGCATTCTGGATTAAAAAGAAAACAGCCAGATTTACCACAATTTTGTAGATAAAGAAATTCAAGTGTACTTTACGTGCGGCCTTTCAGAGGAGCGGAGTGTGGTACCCGATTACTGTGTCGTTGTTGCAGAAGTTAGGGAGAGACTGGCAGTGAGTAATTGAGCAAGTAAAAGTTTCATGCGGAGACGTAAAATCGCAATAAGCTAAACGAGGTAAAACGTAAGTAACACTGTGAGATTAGAATCTGAAGGAGGCTCGCAAATTGGGAAACTATTAGCGAGAATATGACACTTTCAGCCAAGATAATCTAACTCATTACGTATTGATGCAGCATAAGCCATGGTTCGACGAAGGCTGTTAAAACTAACAGACACCGGAAAGAAGGCAAATTGGAACTTTTATGATATCCGAGGCAAATAAATTGAGATAATCTGAACAATGTTAAGACGCAATTCTAATGGACATTTCTGGAACCAGCCAGTGAGTATCTGAAAGACAAACACTGATAAGATTTTTCCATTCATCAAATACTGGAGGAATAAATTGGGTGTACAATGAGACAGTACATCAGCTATTCGTAGACTTCAAGAAAGTTTTTGATTCAGTAGAACATTCTTATTGGGTTACGGATACTTATGAATCAAGTTAATCTTACCAAAATGTGTTTAAATGAAATCTATAATGAAATCCATGTATACCTAGGTAAACATTTGTGTGATAGTTTCGTATTCAAACTTTCCTGAATCACGGAGATCCTTTGGTGAGACATTCTTGAATATATGTGCCATTTTCAAAGAAAATGACGTGTGAACTGATGAGACTGACTTACCTCCAGAATCAATTCCTGTATTGAGTATATCTCTCTCCGTAATTTCACACGGCGTTTTCTTGCCTCCTGTGGAGAAATATAAATGTTTGTTTAGCTGATTTTTGAAACGGCCATAAACAGCAGTCATTTCTGATAGCCCTGTTACATCCTCTACATCTGATCTCCCTCTAACGGGGAGTATGAAACTGGCACAGCGGACGAGCAAGCAGGTCCGCAAATGGATGAACGTATAGTGTTATAAACGAGTGGCATTAAAATTATTCTTGCATATAAGGAAGTGGTAACTTTAAACGCAAGGAATATTTTGATCTTTTCAGACATTATACGAACGTCTATATTTTGAGGCATACATTCTGTGTCAGAATTCGAGGTAGGAAAGCTTTGTAATGGGCATAAAATATCTTTTAATTATCCGTATATCTCTGTTGAAAAAAATTGAGGATGTTATGAATATTTAGAAAGTGACCCTGAAATTTAATTCAGAATCGCATGTGGAATTATCATAACAATTCTCATTTACGGTGCTCTAAGCGGACAGTGGTCCGTATGAATATACAGTATGAATTGTGCCTAAGAATGTTTATAATTGGTGGGATTTATTTTTGAATGAAATTGATCATAATTATTAATATGTTTACATCTACTCAGCCACTTCCTTGACTGGCTTCTCTTGGTCAAATATTCCTGAATGTACGCATGTGCCTTATTTACCGTATAAGTGATATGTGTAGTAAGTGATGTGGTTATCTCACCTTCGCTGATTTTGTCAGTGAAATCACTTTATGGCATAGCTGCTCACGGCGTACTTCTGCCGCCTGTGGAGAAATAGAAATGCTTGTTTAACTGATTCTTAAAACAGTCATAAACGTTGATTAGTTCTGATAGCACTTTTTTACCCTCTACATCTGATCCCTCTCTTACAAACAGCATAAGACCGTCATAGGAGACGAACAGGCAGGATCGCATGTGGACGTAAATTTACATCGCTCTGGAGAAGAGTGACGACTAAATTTATGCTGCTTCTGAGGAAAGAGAGACCTTAATTGCGTGGAGTGTCTTCATACTTTCAGACATTGTAGTGTGGTATGTAGACTCGTTGTTAAGCAACGGCCATGAAAGAAGCAACTGTGCAGCTGGCCGTGCTACGTGGCGGCTCCGCCAACAGACAAGAACGCAATAATTCCTCGGCAACAATTGCACTGCAACAGGGGAGCTGTGTTTTCTGCGCGGTCCGTGTTGAAGTGTTATAAGCAGGAAAAGTTGATGCCTCACATGCAGCCCTCCCATTGTTAACATCAAAATTTGGCCTTTATATAGCCCTCCCAACGTTAGCAAAAACAAACAAACAAAAATCCGATCATATGCTCTATCTTTACCAGAAGGACAAGCGGGCACTGCCTGGGAACCTTCAAAATCGGAGATATAGTTTCTTCCCCCCCACCCACAATGTAGTGTCTCTCACTACGCCCACCACTTCTTCTCTCTCTCTCTCTCTCTTTGTGTATCGCTCAATCATGAGCAACAAACCTTTGCCCCTCCACAACATAGATCTAAATTTATCAATACTTTAACAATTAAAACCCTTTGAAAATATGATATACATATGTTTGATGCTCATCCAATGTATGCAAAAGAAAATAAATTGTAGAGACACATATAAACTTTAATTTAAAGCAACAGAACAGATAGGGTCTAATGTTAGGTTTCGCGCATTTAATGCCGGACTGCTGGCTAGAAGTCAGTTTGCATCCGGAAGGTCCTGCGACCGGCCAGCTCGACCAAGGTTTTCCGTGGTTTTCCTCGGACCTAGAGCTAATGCTGAGTTGGTACCCAAATTCCACGTTGCAATGCATGTCTCACATGCAGCCCTCCCATTGTTAACATCAAATTTTCGCCCTAATATAGCCCTCCAAACGTTTGCAAAAAAAATTACTATAATGCACCCCTTCCAGCGTCATAAAAATATATAATGTATGAAGAAAATCCGATTATAGGCTCTATCCATCCCAGAAGGAGAAGTGGGCACTGACTGGGAACNCCTTCCATATCGGAGATATATTCTCTTAACCCCCCCCCCCCCACAAATTTAGTGTTTCTGACTACCACCCCCACTTCTACTTCTTCAACAATTCAACATGGCTACTAGAGTTCGTAGGACTCTCGTAAAATATGGCAGTTAACGCATTGGGAGGCAGCGCCGTGGGATCAGTATACACCTGTAAGGCGTACATTTTGATGTTGCTCTGCTCTCACAGATGCATCCCAAAACACAAGAGAGGCTCTTAATTTCAAATTATCGGACTGACTCGTTCCTGGGAAGAAAAGGCAGTACTACCCTTATGAAAGGCATTCCCCATAACCATGTGGAACTGCCTCTCCGTACTTGAATAGACGGCACAGGGGTCTGTATACCGATTGGTAGGAGTGAAGCTACCAGTCACCCCTGGAATGATGCAGACATTGCTGAGCTCTTAAGCTTTAGACAAGTCGCTACTGGTATGAAATCTGAAAGCTATATATCCATTTTGGAATAACGTACTTTCCAACTCTTCAGGCGCGTAACACCTGAATTTACTTCACATAAATGAGTTTGAAATTTCAGCACAACAATGACCCATTCATTACTCTTCTGCTTGAAATGGTGATAATGTTGTGGACAAGAAAGTCCGGTCGTTAGAAATCATTGCCTCTGACATTCTGGACTCAGATCACCTGCCAATTGTTTTCTATTTGTTGGATCATATTAGAACTAGGTACCTTTCGGACCCGGTTAACAAATTTGCGGTTTGAGAGCGTTTTCAGAGCTTGGCCTCAGAATTGAATTCACCTCGAATCCAAATTAACTCGAAGGAAGTAGCAGATAATGCACCCCCCTCCTCCCCGCGACTGTATTCTAGCAACCACAGTTGGTCAGCGTGGTGTGGCGATACATCAGGAGTTCGAGGAGCGCCTGCAATAGGCCGGCACGTCGCAAGATTGCCTGTCTCCCTCCTTGCCTTAAAGGGCATCCACCCACAAAGGAGGGGTTAACACTAGCCAACTTAGGGTTCGGAAGAGAACGCCGTCTGGCCTGCGGCCTACATCGATCACGCTTCAGGTTTAGTTAAAGTGTGCCTAATGGTGCTTATAAGTGTAGATTTAATTTTGAATAAATTTTATCAGAAATATTTAAATGTTTACATCTACTCAGTCACTTCATTGACTGGTTTTTCTTGGGCAAATACTCTTGAATATACGTATGTGCCATCTTTAACGTAAGTTACTTGTGGAGTAAGTAACATGGTTATCTCACCTTTATTACGGTCACCAATGACTCAATGTGACTTTGCATCTCATCACTGCGTTCGTCTATTTCCTGTGGACAAAATAATATGTTTAACTGATTTTTAAAACAATCATGAACAGCAAAAAATCCTAGTAGCCTTGTTCCAGCATCTAGATCTGATCTCCCTATAGGAGACTGCACGAAACCTCCGTAGCGGACGAGCAGGCAGGCCCGCAGATGGACGGCCTAAAGTGTTGTTTTCCTTAACGCTAACAAGAAGGAATGAAGATTAGGTTAAATTTATGCTTTATCTGAGGAAAAGGGCGACATTAATTGCGTAGAATATTTTCATGAATGCAACTATATGGTACAAAGTGTGCCTGTGAATGATAGTAGTTGTGGAATTGGACTGCGAATGAAACTCGTTAGAAAGATTAAAATTATTTAGAAATACTGAATCACTTCATTGACCGACTTTATGTAGCCGTATGTTCTAGAGTGTCTGTGCCATGTGGATTAGGCGGTGTGTGTAAACTCACCTTCATCGTCTCCTTTACTCGCTTTATCTCAATCCAATCGCAAGCACGACGATGATACTCTCTCTGTGGGCAAATGAAAATGTTTATTTAACAGATTATTAAAACACAATCATAAACAGCAATCAGTTCTCGTCGCTCTGCTACAGAGAACAGAAAGCCGGCAAAGCGGACGAGCAGGCAGCCCCACAGATAGATGGACATACAGGTACAGTGTCCTCCACCTTCACTTTAGAGAGGAGTGGCGCATTTGTGCTTTATATAAGGAAATGCCAATGTAAAATTTATATTCGTTTACTCTACAGGACTGTCATTGATATACAGTGTGTTCACGAAGTCCCTTCGGGATTTTGAAAAAGTGTGGCGCGCAAACAAATTGAGGTAGCCTCATATGATTTTCGGCAGATCATAATGAAACTCTGGAAGTTTTCTTTTGCCGCAAACAGATGACATAAGCGGCCATCTTTAGTTTTCTGTCAGTTGCTTGTCAAATGGGGACTATGCAGGAATGCGCGCCTTGTGTAGGATGGCTTTTTGAGACAAAATCAGTCATCCAGACTCAACGAAATTACCGCACATAGTTCAATGAGAAACCTCAGAGTGACAAAGGAGTAAGAGACTGGCAACGGCGTATCCTAGAAACTGGGAGTGTCCATGATCGCAAGAGAAGTGGCAGACCTAGTGTAAGGGATGGACGTGTGGAAAGAATCCGTGAATCGTTTGTACGAAGCCCTACAAAATCCACAGGTCGAGCTTCGCGTGAATTGTTTATTCCACTTTCAAGGATACACAAGTACTACATAAGACGTTGAGGTTGTGTGCGTACAAGGTTCAGTTAGTGAAGCAGATTAAACCTGTTGATGACATGGAACGTCAACATTTCTCAGAAGAAATGTTCGACCGCATTGACCTTGATGTGGACTTCTTGAAAAAATCATGTTCACCGACGAGGCAATATTTCGCGTCTCGGGTAAAGTTCACAGGCATAATGTGCGCATATGGGGCACAGAAAACGAACATGTTATGGAGCACATACGCGATTGTTCGATAGGGAACGTGTGGTGTGATATGGTGTTGTTCATGACCAGGTTTTGAACTTTTTTTTTTTCAAAAAACAGGCGATAAAACTGAGCACCTACCTGGACATGCTGCATCGGTACGCAGTACCACAAATTGAGCACTTACAGCCACACGTCATTCTTGAGGAAGATGGTGCTCCATCCCACTGAGGTCTGCAGGTAAGCGCGTTCCTAGACAGGACATTTCCAGGAAGATGAGTCGGCAGAGATTGTCCAATGCCTTGGCCTCCGCGTTCACCAGACTGAACACTACTTAATATTTTCCTGTAGGGTTATGTCAAGAGCAGTGTGTTCCGAACACCAGTTAATGGATTTGATGACGTGAAGAGCCGCGNCAGTTATCGGATTTAATGACGTGAAGACCCGCATCAGGAATGCGATCTCAGCTGTTCCAGCTCGAAAGCTCCACAGAACATGGCAAGAGGTTTGTGTTCCGAACACCAGTTAACGGACTTGATGACGTGAAGACCCGCATCAGGAATGCGATCTCGGCTGTTCTAGCGGACAAGCTCCACAGAACATGGCAAGAGGTGTGTGTTCCGAACATCAGTTAACGGACTTGATGACGTGAAGACCCGCATCAGGAATGCGATCTCGGCTGTTCTAGCGGACAAGCTCCACAGAACATGGCAAGAGGTGTGTGTTCCGAACACCAGTTAACGGACTTGATGACGTGAAGACCCGCATCAGGAATGCGATCTCAGCCGTTCCAGCTCAAAAGCTCCACAGAGCATGGCAAGAGGTGTGTGTTCCGAACACCAGTTAACGGACTTGATGACGTGAAGACCCGCATCAGGAATGCGATCTCGGCTGTTCTAGCGGACAAGCTCCACAGAGCATGGCAAGAGGTGTGTGTTCCGAACATCAGTTAACGGACTTGATGACGTGAAGACCCGCATCAGGAGTGCGATCTCGCTATTCCAACGGACATGCTCCACAGAACATGGCAACAGCTAGAATATCATCTGGATGTTCTCCGTGTTACCAAAGGAGCCCACTAATGGAGGTCTACCGGGGTCAGTAAAAACTTCCAGAGTTTCGCTATGATCTGCCGCAAACCGCACGTGGCTAGCTCAATTTGTTTGCGCGCCACACTTTTTCAGAACCCCGAAGGGACTTTGTGGACACACTGTAAATATAGAGTATCTAGTGCAGCTAAGTGTGCTTATGATTGTGAAATTTAATTGTGAAAAAAATGTGTTATAATTTTTAAAATTATTTAGAATTCCCTAGTCACTTCATTGAGGGACTTGTTTGGCCATGCCTTGAATGTATATGCCATATTTAAAGTAAAAATTGTGACTCACGTGTTGTATGTTCTGCACCTCTTGTATCAGATCATGCATGGTAGTTTTAGCCTGTGAACACAAGGAAATAGGTATCAATCTACATGTTTGTTACAATTGCCAGAATAAAAAGTAATTACATCCCTGTTCACTGTTTTCCAGAACGTTCGTGCCGCGTTTAAAATAAGTGAAAAAGACCACTAAGAAGACCAAGACGTAGGTGGGTGGACAATATTAAAATGGTCTTCTGAGAGATAGCTTGGCATGGAATGGAATGGATTGGATTGGATTGCTTTTGCTTAGTAAAGGCACCAGTGGAGGGCTCTAATGAACACGGTAGTGAACCTTCGGGTTCCATAAAATGCTGGGAAATTCTTGATTAGCTGCACAATTGGCTTCTCCTCAAGAAGGGCTCAGCTCCATGAGTGAATGAGTGACAAATTAAACTTACGTGCTCTATTCTCGCCTCCAGCAGTAACTTCTTTTGTTGTTCCTCCTTCGGATCCAAAGAGATAGTTATTAATCTCTCTGTTTCATACTTTTCTCAGAATGAAGATCAAGACTTCCCTAACGGGCATGTGTTTGTAGTGCACATGGGGTTCGTTGTCTGTGAGTTCTTTACTCTGAACAACGTTTATGCTGTGTGAGGTTGTAATCATAACAATTTCTGGCAATGAGAGTCTAGGTTTCATGAACTGAAGAAGCATAAGCCATGAATCGATGAAGGGTGCTCAGAATTATGAGACCAAAGGAAATGAGCCAAACTGCAGTGGTTACAGGATCCAAGCTAAATAAATGTGTATAATGTGAACCATATAAAGACGTGAAATCAGCAGACATTTCAGGAATAGAAAGAGGGAATATCTGAAAGAGAAAATTGACGAGCTTCCAACAAACATTAAGAGCAAGAATATTATAGGCCTGTATAGAGGAATAGTTGCCTTCACACCACTTAGTAGACAGTGCATACAGATTGAAATAGACTTGCATCTGTGTTTAATTAATTAAGCAACGGCAAAATTACGTATTGTGTATGGACGTATGGACGTGTGTGGTACCGAATAGGCTGACTGAAGCACAATATTTTTATGTGCCATTTTGCGACACTTGCAATATCACAGACTTTATGGCACCGAAGGTTTCGATGATGGATGGATGATGATTTGAAAGGATTTGGAAGCAGGCGGCAATGGCCCAGCTGGGGAATTGCCCTGGCATTTCGCTGGAGGAACTGAAGAATATTAAAGCCATGAAACACCGGAATACAAGTCCAGACCGTTACCATGAAATCAGCCTCTTCGGGTCAAATCCCTCACAATTGACTTGCACTGGGCAATGTCTTGTTAGAATTTCAAGTAGGGAATCGACTAACATGCTTGAGGTTTTCGTTGTTTCCTTCTGTCTCTCGGGTAAAATACCGAGATATTACAACAAAGTAGGCCAATAAGTTTGAATTCATGATTCATTGTTGGTCGTCNCCCCCCCCCCCCCCATCATTTGAATGACGTTGGTTACTGGGTGGGGCCTAAGGGCGGTCTTGATGCTATGGAGAAGAGACAAATCCGAATTCTTTGACCAGTGTTTGCTGCGCTCAACCCTTAGCTTTGCGACGGTTAATGTAGGGCCTGATCTTACACTCACCCTTCGTTGAATCCGCCATTGAACATACCGCACTATCAGCAGATATAGAACACAGATGAGGACGATCAACTGCAAGAAATATAAGAACAGTTAAGTAAGAGTTAGTTCTAATTCCATATGAAGGAGCAGCTTTCCTACCGACCTGTTTTAACATAGAAATATTTGACCCTCTGAAACTTACCTCCAGGATAGGAACCTCCCAGACAATTTTCGCATTTTCTGCGAAGCTCTTCCATTGATATTGCCACCAGGACGCTGCTTCCATTTTGAAAGTTATGACTGAAATTTTGTTTTTTATATTCGCTAGTTGGGGGTGGGTCCAGCTGGGTCCACTCGGCACGGCGGTCACTGACTTGCGACTGAAGTTAATCCTTCGTCAGCTGATAATATAAAACAACTAATCAGCTAATGTCAAAGCCAAGGTCACATTGCGATTGATGTTCAGTCAGTCAGTCAGTAAGTCAGTCAGTTAGTCAGTAATTCTTGGTGTCGAGGCTCATCTGGGGTTTATGACTAAATATTTATTACTGTTTTACAGTTATTGTCTTGTTTTTGTGGGGGTCTCTCTCTCTAACGAGAGGGCGGATCTGTGTTTTCTTATGTGCTGCTGGCCCTTGCCAGCGCAGTGTTTCTCGGGTTCGAGTACCTTGGGACTCGCGACCATATTTTACTGTTGATGATACATATCTTAGGAGATGGTTTACTTAACAGTCGGCTACTGAACGTTCACTAACTAGTTTATTTGTTAGGCACGGACCAAATAGTAAACAATTTTTTTACTTTTTCCTGTGATTTTTGTTACAACTGTTACGTGTTTACAGTTTCGTTGCCTAGTAACTATAGTCCCTCCTGGTTGATTGTTGTGGCTGAAGTTAATTTTATGTCAGGTGAAAATTTAAAACAACTAATCGGCTAATGTGAAAGTAAAAGATCACATTGCGACTGACGATCGGTCAGTCAGTTAGTCAGTTAGTCAGTCAGTCAGTCAGCCAGTCAGTCAGTCAGTCAGTCAGTCAGTCTTGGTATCGAGCGAG